GGGGTAGTGTAGAAAACTCTTAGGCAAGGGAAACCAATGAGGAACCAGAGAAGGGTTTGGGAACTAGGGGACAAAATGCTTGCAGAGGGGCTGTAAGGCACACCCACCCTTTTGCCCCATTTGTCGCTGGGCTTGAGCGCCTGATTTTGCAAAATTGAACAACAAAAGCCTCTCTCTGAGTACAGATTGGACTTCTTGAGCGTTCGTTGATGAAAATGCTGTGATGGCCCATTGATAAGCTCTTACAGAATAAGGCAGTCTGCCCCAGTTCTCTCTCTGAGACGAGAGACAGAGAGAGAGAGACCCATCTGGTTATGGCCCAAGTTAGGGGTTTATACTGATCTGTCAGCTACCAAGAGGAACCAATGTGGTATCTGGAGTCTCAACAGCGTTTCTAACAATAGCAACACTATAGGACCGGGTAGATCTGCCCCCATAGCTATGCAAAGCTGTAACTCTTTATGGAAGTAGAAAACCTCACCTTTCTCGCACATAGAAGCTTTTTTGAACTACTGACCTTGAAGTGTAGCTGCCCAAACTGTAACCCAGTCTGCCACCAGGGCTCCACAGTGATCCTCTACCCGCTCCCCACCGCCACCACTAAAAAACAAAAAAACCATTGTCATTGAGTTGATGCCAGCTCATAGCGACCCTAAATGTGAAGGACAGGGTACAGCTTTCCCTGTGGGTTTCTGAGACTGTAACTCTTTACAGGAGTAGAAAGGCTCCTCTTGTTCCCAAGGTGTAGCTAGTGATTTCAAACTGCTTACCCTGGCAGTTAGCAGGCCAATGTTGAATCCACGATGCCACGAGGGCCCCTGAGTACAGAGCAAAACTGTCCCTGTGGGTTTCTGAGGCTGTAAATCTTTACACAAGCAGAAAGCCTCATTTTTCTTCTGTGGAGCTGCTGGTGGGTTTGAACTGCTGACCTTAAGGTTAGCAGCCCAACTGGCTGAACCCTTGGCTTCCACAGGGAGGGCAGGAGTTCTACCACTATTTTCTTGGGAATTTGCTAAGTGTTCCCCATTATCTTCCCACTGCTCCACAGCCCCCTGCAGGCAGAATTAAGTACTCCCTTGGTCCTCACTCCTCAGACCACTTATCTTGCATTAAAGCTAATTGTTTTCCCCCAGGTGTCCTTCGCTCCCTATGGCTGGTTGGTTGGTGTCTTCTTTGTCTCTGTGGTCACCAAGATTGGAAGGGAGGCTCTGCTTAAATCAAGGTCCCAGGTGGGGTGTTTCCAGCGAAGGCCCCCTTTAGCCCAGAGCAGTGCTGCTTGCCTATTCAAGTTCATTTTGAAGCTAGTTTTGCAGGCTGCCCGGAACCTCCAGAGCCCTGGCTTCTCGGCTTCTCTGCAGTGCCTTTTCCAGAATGATGTTACTACCAACAAACCAGAGCGCACAATCTGCAAGGATGAGTCATTGCTCCTGAAAGACACTGATAATTAACCTTGACTGCTGCATGGCTTTGCACATGGGAGAGATGCATACCTGTCCATGTGCCATAGATTTATTATCTCATTGCTGGGCACTTCCCATCGTGATGCCTCATGTTGTGACTGTGCATTCATCCTGACCTGATCAGAAGATGCTAAAAGCAGTGTTTCTGATCTTGAAAGCATATGCTGGGCATATAGCCTTGGTATCCCACCTGCATCATGGTTATGCATTGGGCTGCTAACCACAAGGTCAGCAGTTTGAAACTACCAGCCACTCTGCAGGAGAAAGAGGAGGCTTTCTAATTCTGAAAAAAAGATACAGTCTCAGAAACCCACAGGGGCAGTTCTACCCTGCCCTATAGGGTCTCTGTGAGTCGGAATAGACTCTGCAGCTTTGAGTTTGGTTGGAGTTTATCCCGCCCGATACTGTCAGTCAATTTTGTCCCTACTGAGAAGCAGATCTGCATCATTTCACAGGTTAGTTGCTACCAAGAAGTGGGAGATCTGACTGCCCTCTCCTTGAACCCTAGCTGTGTGGCTTTACACGATTAATACACCAGGGTCCCAGGGTCCCAGGAGGTCTCTGAGGCTGGAAAAAGGAACCTGACTCACTCTTTCGCCCATTGAACTCTGGTGGGTTCAAACCACCCACCACCCTTGCAGGAACCAACCTTAAGCCCAGAGCTTAACCCAGTGAGCCATCTGGGCCCCTAGAGTTGGTCTACCGCAGAGCACTTCAGCGTGCTGTTGCCTCTGTCTTGCTGTGGCTCCCCATCAGCCCCTGAGCTCTATGCACCACTGCCAGGCTCCAGTCACGTTGGGTGCTCTCTGAACAAGACTGCATCCAACTACTGACTTCTCCCCCTTCCCTCCGCCCTGGAGCGAGGCCCCCTCCTCACCTGGGCCTTTTGACACACCACCAGTTCTTCAAGTCCCAGCCCGACTGACAGCTGCAGCTCAAAGGCTCAGACCCACACCCGGAGCCACGGTGGACTTGCTGTGCGCCTATGGGCGTGCCTACACCATCACTCCAACCTTCAGTCTGCCCACCCTCAAATGCAAATAAAAATACTGACCTAAAATGAGCTGATTCCGGGAACCCAAGAGGCAAGCGAATTTTGGGAATGATGAGGACAACAAATGTATAGATGTGCTTTACACAATTGATCTATGTATTGTGATGCATTTTATAAGCCCCAATAAATTGATTAAAAAAAATACTGACCTTGTAATAAATGCCTGGAGGGTTCAAAAGATGTCTGCTTAGACAGAAAGCAAACCCCCTGACGAGCACTTCCAGCTCCAAGTTTAGTCCTTGCAACCCCTTCCCTTTTCCTCCAGAGCCTTTGGTCTGAGGGGGTGCACGGACATAGAAAGTCATGGTTGTGACCTCAAAAAGGCCCCAGAGGTCAAGGGACCAAGTCTCAGTCATCTCTCTGCCTCCTGCTAATGTGTGATGAATGTTAACGGATGGTTTAATGGCGGCCTCCTCACTCACAAGTAGACTCATAAATGGCAGGGTAGTTGCAGCTGAGAAGAGGTATGGAAATAAAGGGATGTCGAGGTCAGATGGCTCTGGCCTTGAACCCCAGCTGAGCGACCTTTCCCAATTACCATGTTTCTTTTCTCAGATGAAGACGCTGGATGGGTCCTTGGAGGAGGAGTCAGTGCACACATGTGGGTGAAGTGCCATTACCATCATTGGATGTCATAGGGCTTTGGGCTCAACCTCACCCCAGCAGGATTGCCCAGGTGACTCTTTGAGCGCCTTGGTTTTTAAAGGTCAAGGAAACTGTGGCCCAGCAGTTCCACTGACCAAAGGCCCATTACAATTTTCATTGACCTTAGGCACTTTTGATTTACCTGAGCCCTTTTCCTGTAACAAAGGAGCCCTGGTGAGATAGTTAAAGCTTATTGTGCCAACCTGGCCGATAAACACATGTGGGGTTAATTAAAGGGCAGAGGGATAAATGGCTGGGTGAGCCTCGTCTTTCTAGTTCTCGGGACTCTTGCTTTGTGATGGTCGGACCAAGGTACAGCTGCCTTAGCCAGTTTCCTGCTTCAGGTGACAGGGCTCACTTCCTGTGAGACAGCCCTGAGGAGAAGCCACATGGACCTACCCCGATGCAGCCCTGGGTGCTGGAGCAGCCTTGTAGAAACCCCTGCCAGTGCTGAGATGCTTACACGTTCGCTGATTCAGCTTTCCTCCTGCAGTCGGCGTCATGGCGTAGTATTTGTGAGATGGAGGAGGACTTTGTGGATTGGTGTCAGACATATGGGCTAATGTTGGACTTGTGGGCTTGGGCAGCACTGGGTTGGGATGTTTTCTTGATGTGCACTTACCCTTTATATAAAACTCTCTTATACATATGAGTTTCTGTGGATTTGTTTCTCTAATGTACCCAAACTAACACACCTGGCATAATGGTTAAGCATTAGGCTGCTAACCATAGGTTCAGCAGTTCAAAACCACCAGCTACTTTGAAGAAGAAAGATGAGGCTTTCTACTCCCATAGGAGTTACAGTCTTGGAAACACACAGGGGCAGTTCTACTCTGTCTTATAAGGTCTCTGAGTGGGAATTGACTCAATGGCAGTGAATTGAGGTTTGGGGTTTTTGTTTTGTTGCCTGTAGCAACAAGAAGACTTCTCTTTTACAACTGCATTCATATAAAGATGAACAGGGCAGACCAGATTCATGATGATGATATATTCTTTATTACTATATTCATTTTCTTTTGACTTTAATAGAAATGAAAGCACTTTTGTGGGCCACAGACATTGTTCTTCTCCCACCTCCTCCTTCTTTTCCCCTCCTCCTCCTCCTCCTTGTCCTTACTCATCTTTGGCACCCTTGTAGTGCACTGGTTAAAGCACTCGGCGGCAGCAAATGGAAAGGACAAGGGGTGGAATCCACTCTTCACTCCGCGGGACAGAGACGACGCGGCAATCTTCTGCAGCAAAGATTCACGCTCAGGGCTGTTCTACTGTATCCTTACCCACCGCCTCCACCCAGAAGGTTCTGACTCATAGAGACCCGCCAGGGCAAATAAAACTGTCCCCTAGGGCTGCTGAGACTGTAAACCTTCTAGGGAGCAGAGAGCCTCATCTGTCCCCCCGCAGAGCAGAGGGTAGGTTTGAACCGCTGTCACCCACCCACCACCACCACCACCACCACCCCCACACCGATCCAAAAGACCCTATCTTTATAAATTCCCCAAAGAGGATTTGGCTGCAGTCTCTCCTCCCCAGTCGACTGTCAGCTAGCTTCGTGTGTGTCTTTCACGGTGCACCATGGAGTCTGCCCCAGCGCACCCGCAGGAACCACACAAGGCTGTCACTCCTTCTCCCCCCGCGCCCGCACTCCCCGGGGCCATGCCTTTAACCCTGTGCATGCTGGTCCTTCTCAATGATACTTTCCTGGTCCCCTGGTCCCTTAGGGGAAGAACAAGGGGCGGAGCAGAGGCTGCTCCGTGCGACCCCGCCCACCGCCGCCGCGCTTCAGGCTGAGCCCCGCCCCTTTGTCCTTGCTCAGCCTGCTGCGGCCCTGGGCTGTTCTGCGCGTGCGCACCGACCCAGCTCCTGGGGCGACTTCAGTCAGGAAGCCAACTTGGTAGGGACTCATGTCGCCAGCCTGTCCTCGCCGGGAGCCAGTCAGGTAAAGTCATCCTGGGCCCTGCACCCCAGGCTCCCCCGCTGGCCCTGATCGCGGCGGGAGTGCACGCCTGGTGTGCGGGTGGCTGGAAGGCCTGCAGTTGGCTGGCCACCGAGGGTCACTGGGACTTTGCTGCAAGTTTAATCCGTCCGGCTATGGGGCCCTGTCCTGGGCACCCCCTCTGGGCCAGCACACAGGGTTCAAGGCCTGTATGCTGTCTTTGGACAGGAAGAACCAGGCTTTGAGCAAGTCTGGGTTCAGATGCTGGCGTATTGTTTCCTTCCCGACCGAGACTGCACCCCGCGGCCCCCAGGCACAGGGGACCCCCGATGATGGCCCGACAGCCCCGCTCTCAGCCTCCAGCTACAGACCTTTGATCTCCTAGTTGCTTGGCCTCGCTTACTGCTCACCTCTCTGCCTCTCAGGCTGTTGTAGTAAACTAACGAAAAGGTGGGCCTGTCCAGACTAAGGGTGAACCACCATTATTCTCAGAAACAGCCCTACCTGGAAGGCGGGAGGGGCAGGGCAGGAGGGTGTTCAAGCAGCCTTTGTTGCTGCCTCACCCCCACCCCCACCCCACCCCCTATTTCTGGCCAGGTTTGATCCTTCATTACCAGGACCACACAGAACTCGGGCAGTATTCACAGTCACAGGGTGTAGCAGGTTATAATTCCGGTGAGACATGCTCAGATACGATGGTTCCCTCAAGACTTGTTACAAAGTTCTTTCGGGGGCTGAAAGCCCTTAAGCTGCAGTGCAATGAGTTAGCAAATGGAGCCCCCTGAATAAGTACGTGCCTAGAGGCACCCCGAGTCACAAGCCAGCCTCCTGCCCAACAGCACGCAGCCTGCCTTGCTCTGTGGGCCGGGAAGTCCACCCCTCTTCTGAGGCTCTGCCTCCTGGTTCTGCTGCTGCTGCTGTTCAGTCACTCACTCCTCAGGTGTCACCTTGTCTCCTGGGTCAAGGAGGGTGGCTGCAAAAAGGATCTCCAGGCCCATAGGGAACATTCCACCCCTGCCTCTGACTGCTGCTGACTCCTCCTTCCTGCTTCTGGGTGGTTTGTTTTATACCCAGTCGATGGCACTCACGCTCAGCCGAATCGTAGAATATCATCCGTATCTTCCTCCCCACCTTCGTACCCACACCCATCGGGCAAACCAAAGCTGTTTGGTGGGAGTAGCAAAAGCTGTGGCTGTTCCTTCTGACCCATAACGACCCCGTGCACAGCAGAACGAAAGACTGCCCGGTCCTGCTCCATCCTCACAATGGTTCCCGTGCCTGTGAGCATTGTTGCAGCCACTGTGGCTGTCCATGTTACTAAGGGCCTTCCTCTTTTCACCCCCCCTCCACTTTACCAACCATGGTGTTCTTCTCCAGGGACTGGCCTCTCCTGACAACCTGGCCAAAAGATGTAAGACAAATTCTCACCATCCTTGCCTGGAAGGAGCACTCTGGCTGTCCTTCCATGACAGATTTGTCCGACCTTTTGGCAGCCCACGGTATTTTCAATATTCTTCTCCAGCACCACAATTCAAATGCATGGATTCTATGAGGCCATTGAAAATACTGTACCACACGTGACCCAAGCCAGGGTATTTTCAATTGCTCCACATGCATGGGAAAATTAAACACTGAATAAGGAAGACCGAAGAAAATAGGCTAAGGCTAGAAGAGCCAAATGTTAAAATCCACAGCATTGTACCCGCGAAGATCTCCAGCCCGGCAGACCTTATGCAGGGTTGCTCTGAGTCGGCCCGGAGTGGAGGCAGTGGGGCTAGTTGTGGTTTGGGCTTTCGTTCCTGCTGGTTCCTTTGGCCCCCTTTGGCCTCCTTATTGAGCTCACACCAGGTAAAGCCCCTTTGTGCTCTGGGCAGCCAGTTGCCTCCAATACCAAGATTGGGGGAGTTAGTTTGCATGGTTTGGCCTGGTCCTGCTACCCAGTCGTATTTAGTGAGCACCCAGCCATGTCCAAAGAAAATCCACTGCCATCATTCCAACGTGCAGTGACCCTACAAGACTGGGCTTGAACCATCAACCTTGTGTCTAGTGGCCCAGGGCTTAACCTGCTGTGCCATCACAGAGCATCCTTGCCACAATGAAAGGCACAAAGGACAGCACACATCTGCTTCTCTAATGGGGATTTACAGTCGTCGTTATCATTCGCTGGGCACTAGCTCAGTGCCAGCCACCGTGTACGAAGAATGACCCAAGTCTCTAGGTCATTCCTATAAACTTTAGGAACCAGGCATGGACAACTTAGACCTCTGATCTTATTCACTATGCAAAATGGCCATCCCCTAGGAAAACCGACCATAAGCCAGGACAGACACACCACCGATCACAGGAGCCAAAACAGATTTTCATGGGAAGAGTTCCAACTGTGATGTTAGTCAGGGTTATCGGAAAAGACACGTGCATTATTGGGAGTAAAAGCAGAGAGGTTCATTGTGGCTTGTTGCTATCTGAACCCAGGGGCCACGAGGAACGCAGGCCTGAAGCCAAGCAGTCCGAGGCAGCTCGGCTGCGAGCAGGTTTTTACGGAGTGAAGTCAGCACATTTCACATTTTGAGTGGAGGAGCATGCAGTTAGAGAAGCCTGAAGGGGCCAGCTCAGAGCAGGGCTTCTGCATGGCCTGCCTTACTGAGTGGGGGCAGGCTGCAGGGGCTGGTGGCAGCACACAGTACAAAGGTGGGTGCTCTAGGGGATGTTTCAGGGAAGCCACCAGAGTGTCACGAGATGGAAGATTGCCCTTGGACACACATGTTCCTGGCATCTGTTTGCACAGGACATTTCTGATGAAGGTCGAGCGTCAGGACCCTTTCCACCTCTGAGCTAGACTGCAGGGCAGCATGACTGCCCTTGTGTAAAGTCAGTAAGCACTCGGTGGAAACAGAGAAGTTAACATGGAGTCTGAACTGATGTCCAGGCTCCAGCTGTAGCCTGTGGCCTCCACAAACCAAGTGCCTTGATTTAGGCTCTTGGCCAAACTCAAAAAAGAATCAATGCACTTGAATTGTGGTGCTGGTGAGGACTATTGAAACTACCACGGACTGTCAAAAGACCAAAACCAAATCTGTCCTGGAAGAAGTACAGCCACAATGCTCCTTAGAGGCAAGGATGGTGAGACTTTGTCTCACGTCCTTTGGACGTGTTTCAGGAGAGACCAGTCCCTGGAGAAGGGCATCATGCTTGGTCAAGTAGTGGGACAGTGAAAAAGAGGACGATCTTCAACAAGATAGACTGACATAGTGGCTGCAACAGTGGGCTCAAACATAAGAACAGTCGTGAGGCTGGCACGGGACTGGGCAATGTTTTGTTCTGTTGTACAGAGGCTCGCTAGGAGTCAGAACCAACTCCACAGCCCCTGAATCGACAACAGCAAAACCCAGCCATACCCACTGCCATCCAGTTGATGCTGACACAGAGGGATCCTAGGTAAGGTTCCTGAGACTGCACATCTCTCCTGGAGCAAACAACCTCATTTCCTCCTGCAGAGCAGCTGGTGGGTTTGAACCACCAACCTTGTAGTTAGGAACTCCCTACAGAACTCTTGAATGAAAACTCACTGCTGTCAAGTCAATTCTGACTCATGGAGACCCTATAGGACAAAACAACACTGCTTCTGTGGGTTTCTAAGGCCATAAATCTTTATAGAAGTAGAAAATTTCATCTTTTTACTGAGAGTAACTGGTGGGTTTGAAATGCCGACCTTTGGGTTAGCAGCCCAAAGTCTATCCCACTGCACTACTAGGGCTGTCAGACAGTGGTTATAAATTCAAATATTTGCATATTATCAGATAGTATTTCTCAAAATGTGTCCCCTGGGTCTAACATCATCACTGTCACCATCACCACTACAGGTGAGGGGCTTAAATATAACTTCTCAAGCCCCACCCCAGCCTTGCTGAGTCAGGAATGGGTAGTGGATTCCTTTGATGAGTCAGGCATGGGCAGTGGATCCCAGCAGCCTCCACTGCCATGAACCTTCGAGGCAATACTGTTAGAGTGTTGGAGCCAGTGTTACAAGGCCATTGGAGACATACGTGTTTGATGTTAGAGCCAGGTTAAGAGACAGTGGTTTAACTATCTGACTTTTAAAAACATACTGTGCCTGAATTTAGTGATGGATGTCCATAGTTAACAGTTGTATTGGGTGGGCGGGAAGGGGGGACACCATGCTTTGACTTGATACTTCTCAGAGTGAGCCCTATACCTACCTGGTGCATGCTTGGTAGGGTTGTTTTTTGTTTTTGTTTTGTTTTGTCTCATTTAATCTTGCTTTCAACTTCATGGCTGAAGTACTGTGATTCTGACATGTTATGGATAAGGAAACAGATTAAGAAATGGTTCGCCCCTTGAGATGCTCAGTAAAGCAGAGAACTGACTAGGAACTTCTGAACCTAAACTCGTTACTGAAATGCTTGTCTGGTACATTTCGGTTTTAGAAACCGCTTGATAGATGAGGCCAAGCCCCGCTTACGGAAGTTTGACGTCGGGAACAAATATCCTCACCTGCTGCAGAACAGATGCTCTGTCCTTATACCTCTGTTGGTGAAAGATGGGAAATTCCATCTGCTACTCACCCTCCGGTCAGAGAAGGTAGGTAGACAAGAAAGCCTTGGTCTGCAACTTCTCAGGATGCGTTGAAAATTCCAGTAAAGTTTGCCACTTGGGCACATCTTTGAGGCCCTGATTCCCAGCTGCGCTTTCACAATTGTGATGTTCCAGGGATACCACGTGGCATTTGGGGGAGAGCTTTGGGGAAGAAAATTAAATATTCTTCTTCTCATTAGAATGCATTAAGAGATATATATCTTAATATCTATATAATTCATTTGAATGCATTAAGATACATATCTTAATTAATTCATTTGAATGCATTAAGATACATATATTAATATATATTATATATAATATATATTTTAAGATTTTATATATATATATAAAGGCCCACCCAAATCAGTCACTTCACTTCAAGGTAGAGAGATCAACACACAAGGTTTTGGCAACTGCTGTTCGGGATTCCAATTGGGGTCATCTGGGGAGATTTTACTGAAAGACGCAGGACAATCACAGGGGCTTATTCTGAAGAAGATTTAAGAAAATAGTAAACCGCGTTGGTGAGATAAAGGCCAGGACAGGTGACCTAAGGGGTTGTTTTCCGTCACAGCCATGCTCCCTGCTCATTCTGTGAGGGTCAAAAGGGCTCTGTACTGAGAATTTCTCTGGGATGCCTTCTTCCCCTATCCAACCCATAGCCTTGATCTTGCCCCTTCAGCCTTCTTTTGTTCCCCAAACTCCATGATCATCTAAAACAGTGATTCTCAACCTTTCACAGGGGTCGCCCGATTCATCACAGTAGCAAAATGATAGTGATGAAGTAGCAAGGAAAATAATGTTATGGTTGGGGGTCACCAACCCCAGGAGGAACTGTATGCCAGGGTCGCAGCATGCGGAAGGTTGAGAACCACTGCTCTAAAAGGGCCATTTGCCATCTCTCGCGATGCCAACGTGGACATGGTCTCAGACAGAGGGTGCAGAGTCCCTCGGGGTGGGAGAGATGGAAGCAGTGCCAAGTGCTTTCAGAAGCTTGTAGGGCGGGATGGAGACAGTGCCAAGCAGCAATAACGTTACAGTTTCATGTGTTAAAGGTCTCTGGTCCTGTAGCAGTACGTGGGAATGACCTTCATGCATCTAGACCAGGGTGTCTTTGCCTCAGCACTGCTGGCCTTGGGGGCTGGATTTGCTGGTGGGGGTCTGATCTGAGCACCGTGGGCTGTTTGGCAGCACCCTGACCTTTACGCCCTGAACGCCAGTGGCATCTTCTTTGCAGCTGTAATAAGTACAGATATCTTCAAGTATTAGTGAAGTGCTTCAGGGGGCCAAGCTGCCCCACTGAGGATCACCGGTTTCAAGGAATCTCATCTTGGGTAACAATCTGCAAATACTAGAGCATAAAAATGAACAGCCCAGACCCTGGGGCCTCTGTGCCCTGTTGGACTGAAGGTTCTCCTTCTTCCTGCAGTGTGACAGTCTCCTAGTCACATAACCACTGTGTGCTGCGGGCCCTTCACCCACAGAGTGGGGACAAAATACTAGACCCTGCTTCATAAGGTTGCTATGAGAATTTCCCAGGCTAACAGGTGCCAAGCCCCTGGAACAGTTCCGTACATGTCCGCTCTTATTATGAGCAAGGAGCACTGGTGGTGCTGTTGGGTTTAAGCATTGGACTGCTGACCTAACTGGTGGTGAGTTCAAACCCACCAGCCGCTCCGCAGGAGGAGGTTGAGGCTATCTGAGTCCATAAAGATTGGCAGGCGCAGAAAGCCTATATCGGGTTGCTATGAGTCAGAATGGACTTGAGCAAGGCAGTGGGTTTGAGTATTATCATAGCCAGTGGGTTCTGCACTGGGATTCTAACCACAGAGTTAGTTACTGGCCCAAAGAAGTGGATAGATCTTTGTCGATGGAATGGATGAATGCACACGTGGCCCCATCCTTGGCATCACACATTGTCATTCTGTTCTTCCACTATCTAGCTGAGACGTTCCCCGGGAGAAGTTTGCTTCCCAGGAGGAAAGCAGGATCCAGCCGATGTGGATAACATTGCCACAGCTCTGCGGGAGGCGGAGGAGGAAGTGGGGCTGCATCCTCATCAAGTGGAGGTGGTCAGCTGCCTGGTGCCGGCCATTGTTAATGTAAGGTTGGAACGGAACTGGCTTTCACCGTCTCTCTCTTAGCCCTTCCATTGGGTCCACCGTCCTTTTCATTCCACAGGTGCCTGCATGTGGCCCTACAGAGTGCTACCCTTAGACGCAAGAGAGGGATTTTGGTATGGGCTTTGTCCCTCATGAGCTAAGTGGCCTTGGACACGCCTTTCCCCTCTCTAAGTCCCTCTTTCCCCAACTAGGGAAAAAAAAGGTGGGACCGGGGCGGGGGGGCGGGGGGCGGTGTTTGAATCTGAACAATGGTTTTCAAACTGGGTGATGGAACCCTGACTATACTTCAGAGCTGTTTCATTAGCTCTCAATGGACAGGTACTTTTCTCCATGATATAATGACACTGAGCGGTCAGCTGGAAAACAGTCACACACGATCCCATTTTAGTCCCTTGGAGGCCACTGAAGAGGAGCCACTCCACGGTGGAAAAGGGAGAAGGCGTCCACGATCATGACCATTGAATTGTGCCATGTGGAGCTGCATTTCTGTGTGAGTCAGCATGGCCGTCATAGCGTTTATGCCAAAGCAACATCCAAAACAAGCTAATGAGTCCCAGGGCCAATGCAGCCAGGTCTTGTTGTGTCTGCACTTTGCCCCTGACACTCTTACTGTTTCCCTGACTTTAACCCACTGCCACTGAGCTGAGGCCAATGCACAGAGACCCCCGAGCCCTGCTCCATAGCATGGCCAAGAGTGCCCATCTCTACAGAAGCAGACAGCTCTCTCATCCTCCCTGAGAGAGGCCGATGGGTTTGAACTACCCATCTTGAGGCTCGAAGCCCTCCGCTTAACCCACCAGGCCACCGTGGCTCCTTCCACTGACTTTAGAAGAAGCAAATCCAACAGTGTACGTTTGAGCTCAGAAAGAAGCATCCTTTGATTGCAGTAGCCTTTCGATATGAAATTTTAATTGTAGAAGAGTTGTCGAATGACTGAGATGTTGCAATAATAGTGCAGAGAAGCCAACACGAGCTCATGACTATGAAGGAAGCCCTGCCCTTCTTGGGCTTTTGCTCCGTCGGTTAACATCCTCTCTCGGCCCTGGGATCCCACATGGCCTTAAGTTGTCATCTCCTCAGACTGCATAAAACCACATCTCTGGTTTCCGATGACCGTGACAATGCCAAGGTGTGCAGATCAGGTATTTTAAAGGTTGGCTCTCAATTTGGGTTTGCCTGTTATTTTTCTCCGGATTAAATTAGAGTTATATCCATCTCTAGTATGATATGCATAACTAGTGTTATATTCATAGCAAACGCTGGAGAGCCTTGAGCAGAAGGAGAATCCCAGAACACATCAGTGTGCTGTGGTGCAGGATGGGGCAATGCTTTGTTCTAACAGAGGGTTGCTGTGGGTCTGAACCAACTTGAAGGCACAAAACAACAACATCCATCATTTATCTAACCCAAATTAGCTTATACTTCAAATATGTGCTTTTCTCATTTCTTACTGATAGGAAGTTACACACACGCACGCGCAGTTGCCAGATCCAAAGGACCACATCTTTATAAATTCCCCAAATAGTCATCCGAAAAGACTCTAGGCATTCATACTTACAGAAGGTATTCTTTTCAGCATCATCTCCTAAATGCTACCTCAGTAGGATAGCTCCTATACCTGTTTCACACAGAACACAGTGAATTTCTGGAGCAAATTTTGCCCCTTCCCTACCCACCTTTGGGCCTATTATTCTCAGCTTAACTGGAAGTGGCTTGATTCAATAAGGAACCCAGCCTCCACAGATACCCATGCTGTACACAATAGCGTGGAAGAAAATGGAAGTCGTGGAAATGGCCCCAGTGGACAAATGGATAAGTGAGCTATGTGATGTATACACAGCACAACACTACGCAACATTGAAGGATCATGGTGAATCCACGAAACCCCATGACATAGATGATCTGGCAATTATGCCAAGTGAGGTTAGCTAATCCCCAAAAGACAGATATCATATATTTTTTTTAAAAATCAAGAGAAGCTTTTCTTCCCTAAGGAAACAGACTTCCACGGTTGTCAAGGGCAGGAGGGGAAGGGAGATAAAGAGAGATCAGAGGCTTGAGCAGTGGTGGGTCGGCCGACTGCAGCTCCTGAGCCACAGGTAGCTCTTTCGGTACGGGCACGTGACCCCGAAGGGACATTCACAACGAACATAGAGCCATCATAGTTTCACTTGTAAAACCGTTGAAGGATGTTATTCGAATGGCTGTGATTTCATTTGTTTGTCCAAGTCTATTTTTGGCCCTTGAATGATTTTTAAATTCTTGCGAGGAACAGGATTGGCTCTTCAGTTTCAAAATTTGGCCCGCCCTGGGCTTGGGCATTGCTGCTGCTGTTGTGACTGGCTGCACTTGAGTAGGTTCCGACTCATTGCGACCCTGCGCACAACAGAACCAGAACCGGCCCTGCACCACCCTCACGTGCAGCCGCTCGTGAATCCATCTCCTCGGGGGTCTTCCTTTCTCCCTTACCAAGCACACAGCCCTTCCCCAGGGACTGGCCTCTCCTGACAACGTGTGCAAAGTGCACAAGAGGAGGTCTCTCCATCCTTGAGGGCCCAGGGGAAGATCGTATCACCCAAGAGCGAGATGGGGGCTGAGAGAAGGAAATGGCAAACCACTGGGAAGTTTGAGAAGCTGTTAAATGTCAAAATGAGGATCTGCTCTGTAACCCCACCGAGGGCACAAGAACAATGGCTTTGGGGTGCTGTGGTTATTCCTTGGCCTGCGGTCCACAAAGGCAACAGTTGGAAAGCTGCAGAAAGATGGACTGTTCTACCCCCAGACACACAGTCTCGGAAACCCACAGGGGTAGGGGTGAGGCGTGTCCCTGAGCCGGCATCGATTCCATGGCAGGAAGTTTGGGCTTTTGTGAGCCAATTTCAACTCTGTGACGTGGACGATGATGTTCATGGAAATGCCCCCAAAGCTCTAAAAGGAGGAGGAATGGCATGATTGTAATGTTTAGATATAGCCTGGCACCAATAGAATTTTGTGTCTCCATGTCTGTCTTTTGTCTTCTGTGTTCAGGAAAACATGCTGCTATTCCCGGTGGTGGGAATCATAGGTGAAGACTTCCAGGCCCAGCCTAACCCGGATGAAGTGAAGGCCGTGTTCCTGGTGCCTCTGGACTATTTCCTGCACCCACGGGTCTACCGCCAGGCTTCCGCGACCTACGCTGATTTCCCTCATCTCGTTCACTTCTTTGAGTACACCAGCCCCGAGAGTGGGGTGACTTACCACATCAAGGGAATCACTGCACGTTTGGCCGTGTTTGCGGCTTTAATTATTTTAGATGAAAGACCCACCTTCAAGGTCGACTATGATCTTGACGACCTCCTATCGTCTTCTGGAGAGTCTTTCATGAAACTCCAAAAACTCATCCTAAGCAAGTTGTGATGTATGGGGCTCACATCCAAGTAACAGTCCAAGAGGATTGTGTGTGTGTGTGTGTGTGTGTGTGTGTGTGTGCGCGCGTGTGTGTGCATGGGAGCTTGTCCACAGGAGAACAATCATGCCAGCTCTTGGGACTGAGCAGGTGTGGGTCTTTTTCTTGCCATATGAATGCTCAAAACCTGATCTCTTTTCCCATATGCCCTCTATCAGCTAAAAGAACAAAGGGCTTTCAAAAGTGGAAAATGTATTTAGAATGTTGCATAATTGCCCTCACAACATAATATCTTCTTACACATGTAAGAAATAGTATAGAGTGTGTGGAAGGCACTAAATAAATTGATTTGTTGAATATATGACGTGTGGCATTTCTCATCGTTTTAAGCGGCAGTATTCTTTTCTGCCTGATGTTGTAACCTGTGACGGACACATCTGTCTCCCGTGGCAGTGGAGTTTAAGCTGGACTCATTGGTCCTCAGTTAGAAATGGCATTACCCAGGATTCCTTCCAGTTGGATTAGGCTCTGGGACTAAGTCAGTTCAGGCTGCTGGGATAGGTGCCAAAGCTGCCTTTTCAGGTCGACACCAACTTCAGAGATCAGCCAGTATCGTAGGCTAGGTTCTCTAGAGAAACAAAACCAGAGTGCTAATAATTTTATACATATTTATACAGATAGATAGATAACATGAGAAATAAACAGTTCATTCAATTATAAAGCAGTACAAATGGCTCAGTGCAACTCACTCCCGTGAGACAGTTGTGAGACACTGGCAGTCCTTCAAGTCTTGAGGGCTGCAGGGTAGTCCTCTGTAGAGCAATTCAGGCTATCCGGCTAGGCAGCAAACAGCAAGGCAGGTCACCAACAGTCAGCCAGATGACAGGGTCCGACAGTCCCCAGCTCAAGAAATGTAAATTCCAATGGTGTGGTGAAGCAAGCCTTGAAGGAACCTCAAATTACAGTGACACAGTCCACGGGTTAGGTGTCCCACAGATAGTGTAGCTTGCAAATTGAGACACAGAACAAGCAAGGTTGCTGCACACTGGTCCGATGATCAAAGAGCAAGAGACAAGAGAGGCGAAGGTCGCTGAGCCATTTATCTCTCCGCCCTTCAATTAATCCCACATGTGTTTATCGGCCAGGTTGGAACAATAAACTAACTACCTCAGATGTCTATATGTGGAGAGATCTGTCTCAAGGAGATGGCTCACAAGGTTGTAGAAACTGTCAGGTTGCAAATCCATGGTCAAATGTCAGGCTGAAGACTTCCCCTGACTCATGTCGCTCCAGCAGCCGAGGAACCCAAGATTGGCAGCCAGCTGCCGAGGCAAGTGAATCCAGGTGAGGTGGCCGGCTGCTGACTCAGGCTGAAAAGGCTAATGGCCCTTGGGCCACTGGCTCACATCCAAAGAATCAGAGGTCAGAGGCTGACTAGCCAGACGCAGGATCCAGATCCAGCAAAATGCAGGAGGACTTTGCTGGAACGTTTATATAAGCACACTTCAAAAAAGGGTTTATGAGAAAATTCCATGATCTTTTCCTCCCATTTTCTCAAAAATCTTTTGAAGCCCTTTCATAGCTCTTGGAAGCAGGCCACATCCCTGAGGAAATTCCCTTTCCATGGATTGTGCCACTGGACTCCTTATCATCCCCCGGAGTAACTGAAATGAAGAAACACAAGCGGCCCATACACCTGCAGAGAGGTAACAGCCCTTGTCTCAAGGGGACCAAGACAGGAAAGCACTGATCTGATCGCAAGCATGAGCCCCACATGAGTTTCCATAAAGACGCACATTCTGCATCGCCTGCCTTGGATGAAATGCTGTCACTTCTTACACGGACAGCTCCGCCCGTGATGCTTTGGAACGAGCAGAGATTTCTTGGTTTAATTATGATCTGAACCCTCCCTGGTCAGGGTGGCTCATTAGGGCACCAAATAAACATGGTTCTCTGATGGTAGCTTTACATCTTTCTAAGTCTTGTTATATGATTAAAAAAAAAAAAAAAAGGTTGTACTTTGGGAGAACAATTTTAGGGTTACAGAAATATTCCACATGAAGTACAGAGAGTTCCCATATGCCTCCATCTCTCCTATTATTAACATCTTGCTGTCATTAGAGTTTTCGGAAGCGAGACCGTTTCTAACCAGACTTGATGAGTGCTGGAAATGAAATGACCACACTCCACCCATCCATCAACCCTGCCGGGCTGCCCGTTGCTGCGGGAGTTTTATTTGCTGAGAGATGACAAGAGGCAACGACCTAAATGCCCTGTCTGATAACTTCATACCCATCAAGGAGTAAAGGACAGCAACCTGGCTCCCACCAATAAATGCAGATGTTGGCTAAACATCCCCATTAACCTTCTGGAACCAGCCCTGCATGAGCAGGCCTGGACTGTTGGGAACAATGAACTAGTCATTAGCAAATGTTTATCTCCAACCAGGCGGCAGAGTCATTGAGGGTAGTGGGTTGACCTCTCTGGCAGCCCCAAGAATTCTTTGTCTGCGTGCAGCCTGCAGACCTGGGCTGAGTCCTTCGTGAAAGACTATCTCTCCCCTTTCCCAGGCATGGTGGCTTTATGACATCTCTATTCAGAGTGCAAGTCTCTGGGTGGGGCAAAGGTTAAGCAGCTGACCACTAACGGAAAGGTGAGTGGTTCAAACTCTCCTTTCAGAGGCAGCTGGAAAAGGTTCCCGCCCTGCAAACTCTTTAAGCCCAGTTCTGCTGGGCACCGTGGGGAGGCTGTGAGTCAGAAGGGACTGCATGGGTTTGGTTTGGTGTTCAGGGTCCATGGAGACATCCTTTGACTGAAAGGAAGAGCAAGCTTCCCAATCTGGCTCAAAGAAAAAGGGGGGCTTAGGGGCAAGGGACAACTCTCGGGGAATCTGTAAACCCAGCGGACGAACCAGTCTAAGAAGGAAAGCAATGGGAAGCAGTCCCGGGTAACTTCTGGAAAGCAAGGGCTTGGGAGCCTTCTCTTCTGTATCTGCCACAGTGGTGACAAGAACCGACCAACAGGAGCTGAGCCAGCTGATGGGTGAGGAGGTGTTGGTAATGATGGAGACTAGGGCATTGCCAAAACCACACTCAAACGCATTGCTATTGAGTGGATACTGCCTCGTATTGACCTTCTAGGACAGGGTAGAACTGACCCTGTGAGTTTCCAAAACTATAACTCTTTACCGGAATCGAAAGCCCCCTCTTTCTCCCACCAAGTGGTCAGTGGTTTCAAACTGCTGGCATTGCAGTTAGCAGCCCAACACAAAACCACTACGTCACCAGGACTCCTAGGATTTATTCAGCATCCATCGTATACCTGGTTCTTCACTCGGATCGGATCGTTGAACCTTCACATCAGTTCTCTAGGCTGAACACTGCTTTTAGTCCCACTTTTAGATAGGACAGTAGAGCATTGGAGGAATTAATACTTTCCCATGGTCACACAGTTCACAAATGGCAGAGCCACCCTCCAAAAGCAGATGCATCTGTGGCAGTGGCATAATCACCTGTCAACTTGCAAAGGGGTGGAGTTTAGCCTGTCAATCAGATTGCAGCTTGATGACCTCATTTGGAGGCGCTACTGAGATCAATAGCTCAATGGAGGCCAGATACACACAGACACTCTGCTTGTCTTCCTGCTGACAAGCCACATGGAGACCCCTGATGGAACCAGAGCCCTGGAGCTGGAGGAGCCACATGGAGACTCACACCAGCGCCGAGATGCTTACAAGGCCACTGGATCCACAAGACTTTCTGCCCACTGGCCTGTGATCTTCCTGAACTTGGCATCATTGCATGTATTGCGTGAGTCTGAAGAGAATATTATAGACTGGTATCAGACATATGGGCTAATATTGGACTTCCGGACTTGATGTGGACTGGGCTGGGATGTTTTCTTAATATACAATTACTCTTTGATGTAAAGTTCTCTATTACACACATACGAATGTCTCTGGATTTGTTTCTCTAGTCAACCTGGACTAACAGTATCCATTCCAAATCCCATACTCAGTCCACGACACCTCCCTCACCCCAAGACACAGCCCGCCTTATAGTCAGGGAGACAAACAAAAATGGTGAAAGATGCGTCCCCCTTGGTCACGATGTGTGACAGGGAAAACAGTACAAACTTAATAAGCAGAAGGCGCACAGAGTTTATTTTGCCTCGATCATGTCCTCCAGCTAATTCAGCCGGCGTCGCACACAGTGAAACAAGTAATTAGCGGGAATGATTTTAATTAAAATGGAACATACCAGTTAATAAATGGAAGGGCTGGTTTGCTTGCTGAGTGCCAGCTTTCCGGTTACAGAACAGCGATGAGGAAACCTCCCACCCACGTCGACAAGATGACTCAATGTAAGTCAAGTCTTTTTCTTGCTTCCTGTTGGTTCCTTTTCTGAGAAATGGGTGACGTTTTGATAAAACCACTGGGAGTGGCTCATTTCAAGTCCCCAGAGAGGAGCCCCTGTGGGACAGTGGTTCTGCGTTGGGCTGCTAACGGCAAGGTCAGCAGTTTGAAGCTACTAACTACTGTATGGGGAAAAGGCTAAGTTTTCTACTCCTGTAAAGAGTTACGATCCTGGAAACTCACCGGAGCAGATCTATCCGATCCTTAAGGGTCACGATGAGTCAGAATCGACTCGATGCCAGTGAATTCTGTTTAGTGAGGTTTGGAATTCAGGGTTGCTTTTTTAACTACCTCTCTTGTGCCATTCCATGGCGGAGCACTACCAGTGAGTCGAAGCCAACTCACAGCGATCCTGTAGGACAGGGTAGAACTAGGGGGTTCTGAGACTCTAACTCTTTCCGGGGGTAGAAAAAAAAACTTATCTTTTCCCCCTGGAGTAAGTAGCTGGTGGTTTTGAACTGCTGACCTTGCAGTTAGCAGTCAAATGCATAACCACTGCAAGACCAGGGCTCCTGCAAACATTAGACTTCAAGTATCAGTTTCTGTGTTCACACTCCTTCGACTACCACCATCTCACTCTGTGAAACCCTGAAAAAAAATTGTCACGAAGCCACCACTTCATTAGATGCCTTTGTGAATCTGGGTGAGGCATATGCATCTTTGCACTTATTCTAGCTCCACTGATCCACAAGTCACGTGAGCTTTCAGCCTGGCTTCCCGTGGTCTCAGGTGAGTGGACTAAAATTGATATCGTTTTCCCTTTGACAGCTTCAAGGTATGATTCCTCCTTGACTGTGGTTATAAATGACCTTTTGGTGCTGACTGGCACCCCCTCTCTCGCCTGAACCATTTGAAACTTGACTTTCTCCTCCTGACTATTGCCTCTGCCCTCCCTGAATCGTGTGTTTGTTCTGGAGTTGGTAAATAGGTGCTGCTCTGGGCTCATC